CAGCCGCAGCCGCAGCCGCAGCGACAGCTCCAACAACCCCGGGATCAAAAAGGCGCCGGAGCCCCATTTCCCGGAATTATTGGCGTGCGCGAGGGAGCGTTTACCCGGCCCTTGGCAGGAGGGGAAGAGCCACAGCATCTCCGGAGAAAGTGGCCGCGTCAAGCTCGAGAGCGGCGGGGGCAAAAACCCCCCCCCCCCCGTCGCCCCCCCCGGCAGCAGCAGCGGTATCTGGCGCCTCCTGGGCACTCGCGCCCACCTCTCCTCCCGGCACGGGCACTTCAGGTAAGCCACGCGGGCGGCGCCTGGCACAGTGACACGGATAAACAGCTGCCCCGGCAGCCCGGGACGTTTTGTCCACCTCTTCCGATCATGAGCGTTGGGGGGCGCTCTGACTCTCACCGGAGGCGCGGCACAATTACGGGGCGCACCGGCATCCACGCCCGGGGGGCCCGCGTCCCCTCTAGACCTAGACCCAGAATTTTGCTAGTTTGGGGGTTGTCTTTGACTGTAAGCCCAGAAATAATGGAATGTTGATAGATCCTGGAGGATGCGCAAGGAACCACAGGGTCGTTATTTGTATTTGCAAAACTCGAACCAAGTGTAGAGATTGAGAATTAACTGAATTGGCCATTTTTACGAGTTACTCTTAAGTTCACACATTTTCTTTCTATGCTACTCTGTAATTCAACTGTAATGCCAGCTTTGGCTGGATTACACATTACAATTTAAATGTAACTCTTTTAAAAGGTGACATTCGGATATAACAAAGCTAGTCTAAAATGGTCCCTGGCTGTGAGGTTTAATGTGCTTAATGTGGTGCTGGGCTTCCATAAAGATCTCTCTGTATTTTTTTGATTTTGCAAATCCAGTATTCATTAACATTTATCTAGTGTTTCTGATGCATAATATCCACCACAGCAATCATGTGATGTAATCCAGTACTATTACTGTATAATAGATGGGGAGCTGGAGCATGTGGGACTTGTGAATGTGGGTCAGAGATGATGTGGGGATGAAGGACTTCCTTTTTCAGCCGTTGCGTCTACCAATGTACTGGATGCAAGTTCAACCAAACAGGAACAATATAATACTTGAAATCTGTTGCTGACTCAAGAGTACCATTATGGCCAAGTGAAGTTATTCTGAAATTTTAAATGCCTGCCTGCCTGCCTGCCTGCCTGCCTGCCTGCCTGCCTGCCTCTTTCTTTCTTTCTTCCTTCCTTCCTTCCTTCCTTCCTTCCTTCCTTCCTTCCTTCCT